GACCGCCCAATTCGTTAAAACTTTTTTCTTTACTTTGCGTCACTTTGGCCTAGTTAGTTAGATCTTTTACCGCAAATTTTGTCGATTTTTTTGGCAAATTTAAGGTACCGAGTTCGACCCAGACATAGGTCTTGTTTTATTTAACTTAAAAATGAGCCAACTAGCGGATGCTTCAGCTATTTCCATCACAACAGAGACTTAAAATATTATTCATTTTGTTCATTACGATGAAGATGTTGTGTTTTACCTCAGAATTTACACTCATTGAAAATTTTGTGGGGTAAAGAAAAAGTGTGGACTTGAAGAGTTCGAATGATAGACAAGAAAGATATGCATATGTATTCCATACAAATACATGTAATACATTAGTAAAGCAAAATTCATATTCGTATTTAAAGTTCTAAAAAGCTATCGTAACAAAAATTAATCAATTGTATAAAAAAAACACCCGGTATGTTATTACAAAACATTGATATTTAATCAAACCTTCAAGGCTTGAATAGTTGATTTTTGATATTCCCAAAATTTAATTCTAATTGGATCAAATTTATCTTTCAACAAGTCATAAATTTCAATTGAATCATCATATTTCTGTTGATCTTTATAAATCTTTGCCAATGTTTCCAAAGCAAAGGAACTTTCAACTTTATCATTAACCAAATCGACAAATGTTTTACAGAATTCTTCCAAATTAGAAATATCTCTATTAAATCTCAGATGAATTCCTAATAAATAATTCCAAGTACTTGGATTTTGAGGTGATTTTTTAATGGCATCTTTTGAATATTCAATTTCTTTATCAATTGTTTCTTTATCAGTTAATAATTTTCTACTAAAGAATAAAAAGAATCGATGAGACCAAGCACTATTGTTTCTTAAATCAGCATTCATAGCACCTTCAACAAAGGCTAATTCTCTTTCATCATGATATAAATCAAATTGTTCAACTAACCACTTACGATAAGACCAAACATGATGATTCTTGGGATCAGAATCTAACATTGCTTCCATAATTGGGAATTCACGATGAGGATCAAATTTTTTAGAAGAAGATTCATCAGTAATTTCCAATATTCTTTTAATTATTAATTGACGATAATTCCAAATTTGATAATTCTTTTCATTATCAAGAGCAATTTGTTCACACCAATCTAATTCATTAAATAAATCATTATTAAGTTGTTTAAGAATATTAAAACGATATATCCAAATAGTATAATGAGAAGCTAATAATTCAATTCCCTTTTCAGTAATTGCTAAAGCTCTTTCAGAATATTCTTGATTTTGCATCATGGCAAGTAAAATTCCCATTACATTTTTATATTCTTCATCATAAAGAATTTGACAAAGTTGAGGTTCCTCGGTGTTTATCTTTGCAGGAACAACATCTGAATAATCATAAGTAGTGTGCATATTGCTTGTTATATTTGGTGTTGTTGTTGTTGTTGTTGTTTGTATTGAAATGTATAATTGATTAATTGGTTAAAACGTTAAAGAAAGGGGGGGGGAATGGGGGATGGATGAATATATTATTTGAAAAATGTCACCTGTTTCCAAAGAAAAAGATTAAAGAGAGACAATTTAATACAAGCCGCACCAGAAAAAATAATAATTAAAAAAAATGCAACCAACCAAATTAAACTAAACAAAATATTTTTTCTCTTTCCATTCTGATTTGAAATTTTTCTGGGTATTAATATTAATTAATTCCTGGGGGGGTTGATACGAGAAACCATATATTCATAACCATAATAAACTGATCCTTCCTTCTCCTCAATTGGAACATTTTAATAGACCCTGCATATGAAAAGAGTACTAAATGACTGTGAATCCTGATATTCAATTAATGACAATAACTTCCATCTTTTGTCTAATTGTTTATTTTATACTATCATCATTATCATCATCATCTCAAATACCGTTATTAATTACAATATTCATCTTTTCAAATATGTTTGGACGTACAGATCTATTCAGAAATATAGCCAACTTTATTATATCATTAAAAGCGACTACTACTGCTCCTGTAAGATTCAATTATCCTGCTTTTAGAGGTGTTAATCATAAAAATTTCCAACAATTAAGTGAATTTCAAAAGGTTGAAGTTTTATCAGCAGTATCTTCACTTCGTAATTATTATCGAGCTTCCATATTACAATTAGATAGAAGAAGAAAATTATTTAAATTAATGACTTGGAGACAACAACGATTATGTGAAGATGTTGGATATTTAAATAAATTAAAATCTATTCAAAAATCCATTCAAACAAATCTGGAATTTACTAATGCTGTTGCTGATCATGTCATCGATACTTATGGAATCTCATATAAAGATTTTAATTTGATTGATAACAATAAGAATAACAATAACTCTAGTGTATCGTCAACAAACTATAGAGTCCTAGAAGCTTTGAGTCATTATGTACGTGATTGGGAATCTCTTGAAAATATCGGCCAAGAACTAATCCCAATATACAATTATGTCTTGAAACATTTAAATAACATTATTCCTGAAGAAGAGAAATCTACCACCTGTCTAATATTCCCGGGATCAGGATTGGGTAGAATGGCATATGAATTTGCCAAATTAGGCTATGGGGCAGTTCATGCAGTTGAATTCTCGGGGTTAATGAGTACATTTGCCCAATTTAACTTCAGTCCTCAAAAATCTTCTTCCTACAAAATATTTCCTTATGTTCATAACAATTCAGATTTCTATACAACTAAATTGCAATTAAGAATAATGAATATTTCCCTTCCTGGTGAAAAACCAGACAACTTCCACTTACATCATGATGACTTTCGTTATTTCGAAATCCCTAATCCAGAGAAATATTCTCAAGTGGTTGTTATTTCAATCTATTTCTTAGATACTGCAGAAAACTTAATGGAATATTTAGATACTATAAAGAAATTGACTGGTCCAAAATTAAATAATTCCATAAAACGAGGTTATTGGATTAATGCTGGTCCGTTAAAGTATGGTACTGCAGCCCAAGTTGAATTAAATGCTGATGAATTGACGTTGATGCGAAAGAAGACTGGTTGGTTAGATTTAGATTCTGTATATACATTAAAAGACCCTTCAAGTGTGGGTAACGATACTGGCCTCGTGGGTTATGTTACTGATACCCAAAGCATGTGGCAAGGATATTATGGATTGAATATGTTTGCAACTGCCCGAGAGGAGAATAAATGATAACTAGATTTTCTATAAATTACATTTTATTTATTATATATGCTCTATTTAGAGATTTCAGTACCCTTATTGATTTGGATCTTCTTATCTTCACCACCACTAATAATACCGATTTGATTATCCCAACAAACATCAAACACCTTAGCCTTACTTCCATCTTCCCTAGTGATAGTATATAATGATTTTTCTGCTCTCACATCCCACACCTTAACTGTTCCATCATGTGATGCAGAAGCAAACATATTATCATTGTATGGAGATGCAGTTAATGATACTACGAAATTGGTATGACCTACTAATTTTGAAGTTGTTTGTTCGGTAGTTGTGGCATTCACTCTTGGATCATGTAAATTAATATGACGGGCAGAAGATCCAGTCACTAATAAATTTAACCTTGGTAATTGTAATATTGATAATAATGAATATCCCGTTGATCTTGTATCTACACATCTTGAAGTAACGAGATCCCATGTTTTAATCGAATGATCTTGAGAAACGGAATATGCCACGGTAGAATCTTGAGAATCAAATATCACACCTTCAACCGGAGCAGAATGTCCTTCCAAAAGAGCCAACGGAGAACGACGTCTGATTGATGCATCTTGGAGTGCCATCTTTCTTCTTTTCTTGGAAGAAGTAGAAACAACATTAGAATCATACTCCAAAGGTTGAATCGATTGCATTTCTTTATAATTAGTAGACCAAAATCCAATAGTTTGGTCATATGCTGCAGATAAGATACGATTTGTTTTGAATTCAACGGCAAGATCAACAACTGGCGCTTTATGTCCTTCTAAAATAGCCAAGGTTTTCCCTTCTTGTGGAGTCTCATCATCATCTTCTTCTTCAATATCATTCTCTTGCGAGGTTTTCCATAATCTCACTTGTCTATCATTACCTGCAGATACCATTCTGGTTGGTGAGATCCATTTAACGGCTTTGATAGCTGCGGAATGACCCACGTATTGTTTTTGTACCTTTCCTGACATATTATATGTACGTACAATCCCATCATATGACCCTGACAATATTTCCGGTTGAGTTAATGATAAATTTGATGAAAGAACCGATGCCGAGTTTGGATTTATTGAATCAAGTGAAGATATCCAATCATCGTTATTAAATGAAGCTAAGAATGAAGGTGGTAAAATTGCTCTTGTATATTCAAGAGTTAAGAATGCTTCATTAGATAATCCATTCTTGGTTAAATATTCTTGAATTGAAGTTCTTAATAAAACTCCATCAATAAGGAAATCAAATGGTATGACTTTATTTTCATCTTGATCTTCATTATCTTTTTCTAATAAATGATTTACAACTTCTGATAAACCAAATCTTTTTAATGAGACAGGAACAAATAATGGAGAATCAGAGACTTGTAATGACTCATCTTCTTCATTTGTGAAGAATTTTATCTTGATCTTATTCTCTTCTACCATGCTTTCAATTTTAGTTGTGATGTTCGCTAATATAGCTAAATTTTGCGATGAGATGACTTGTTGCAATTTTATAGATTGATTAAATAAATTTATTTTTATTTGAAAAATTTTGTCTCATCTCACATCGTTGTCACGTGACTTGGGTGTACACGATGATTTTCAATATTGTTCGATCTTTCTTCATTTCATACCGGCTGTTTAACTTTATGTTGAGGCGATAGTCCTATGTAGTTGTAGATATTTCACTATATATCCTATTATGTTTACAACCTCTGCTAACCTTAGGGTGTGTGTCCTTTTTTACACTTCATCGTGCGGCTCCGAATTAGAATAGTACTTCTACAGGAAGGTTAGAGATGGGTATATATTCTATTTAAATATGATAAATAATTAAGACTAAGTCTAAGTATACTTTCATACCTATTCAAAAAGTGACAGTGAGATTCAATTTGTTGGCAGGATCTTCATTCTCAGTATTTTTCTTTTTCTTATTGAATTGTTTCAAATTTGGTAAAGAAGAAGTTCTTACTGCAATTCTTCCAAGTAATCCAGCAGTTTTAATCCCCGTCTGGACAATTCCTCCTGATTCTTGTTGTTTCTTAAACCTTCTTGTAATTCTTGATTTATGAACTTTTGTGATTGAATAGTTATGATTTTGTTTTCTTGCAAATGGAGAAAAATCAGATATATAACCTCTGGTGAATAATGATTTCATTGTCCTCTTTATTCGTTTCCATTTCCTTGCTCTGGTAATTCGTGGAGGTGGTAAGGATCTCATATTTTGGTGGGTTTTGCTGTAACAGTAGTGTTAATAAAGGTGTAGAAAAGGGTGGCAAAGATTTTTTGGCTGCGAAATTTTCTTGTGTGGAAATTCACCAAGATTTGCAACAGCATATCAAAAAAGTGCTTCAGAGATGTTAGGGTCCCCTAAGTTGTCCCTGGGCATTACTTTTCAAGTTTAATATTAATTTGAGCAGTTCTTGAGGATAGACATTCTTTATCCGATCTGTTACTCGACTTCCTTGGCCATCTCGAACTTGGTTTCAGACAAACAATGGCAAATATCAATTATTTATTTATATGAAAACAATATTCTAGCTACTTAAACTACTTAAAAATCTATTCGGAAAGCCATTTGACTTGATTGTCAATGAATTGACACAATTCATTCATATCCGTTTTCTCAAAATATGAAAATGATAATTGCTCAACACATAGTATATTGTTCATATGATTCCATTGTTCAAATTCAAAATCAATCATAGCCAATTTTTGACGGTCATCCTTTTTGATGTATTTGGGATATTTTATATCTCCATAAACTCTATGTTTTAGTCTCTTTTGTGATTCGTCATACAAATCTGACCTTTCCATATACTGTAGTGGATCTAATTTGGGATAATTACAATGTATTGTAAATAGCGGATTTTCATTATTATTATGAAACTTCTCATTCAGTAAGGTTTCTAGAGTTTTGATTTGTTCGTCTAATGACTTCATTTTGATTGTTGATTCTTCTTCTTTCTCGTCTCCTTCATTGTACCCACCGGAATCTTTCATTATTGGTTTAACTACTAACTCTTGAAACAACTCATAGTCAATCACGGGATTTTTTTGACCCATTGCAACTCCATGATATTCTCTCTCTTCATCGAAATACCCAAAAGTTAAAATAGAAGACTTTACTTGATAATAAGTCTGTTTGGTCACCATGGCAGCTGCGACATATGTGTCTTTCTCTCCTTCTCCTTGTTCTCCCAAGGCAAGCAATTTGTAGAATAAATTTGGACCATAAATATTATAAAAGAGTGACATCAAGATTGTTTTTCCATGCGTTCGCTTATTGATTACTAATTGACCAGATTCTGTTGACATGTCAGCAATTGTCCCTTGTAAATCATGATAAGGGATCGATTTCTTATCTTCTTCATTGTTAATGTTGGAATCTTCATTGGTTGGGGAAAATAATGGAAATCTTCCATATCTTACTCTTTTCAGTTCATTTATTTCAATATCAGCCAATTCATAGAACTTGGGTGAAACAGTTCTTTTCCAATAGTCGGGCCAAGTTATCATCCCATAATATTTGTATAACTTACTATCAAAGATTGAATCAGGGTTGGAAACTGGAAGACTATCGGAATCTAGCATTAAGATATGTTCAAATGAAGAAATTGCCAATGCTAATGATTTGAACTGAAAGCTTGAAAAACTTCTTTCCTTCATCACAGTTTCACCCAATACATCAGGAAGAACCACACATTTAGCTTGTAATGGGGGTAATATCTTGTTACAAAAATCAATCTCTCGTTTATAGTCTCGTTTTGTTGGCATGATAATTTCAACAGCTAACTTTGACCCAGTTTCTCTTAACGAAATTATAGATAGGTAGGAAAGCCAAGAGAATTTTCCACCTCCAATTAGAACAATTCCTTTTGAGTTCTTTCTATAAGTTGATTCAGCTAGTTTTGATGGTAAATCCTCAACCATTCTCCGATGCTTTTCTTTTAACTCTCTAAATACGGAGTCAGAAATGGTAGCCTTGGATAATAAAACTTCCTTTGTATCCACTGCACCTTTTAGCTGATCTTCTTTTTCGACATATTGTATTGCTTTTGTTATATCCGCGGTTAATTGTAGTCTATTTTCATCTAAGATATTGAATATACGGTTCCAATACTTATGTGATATTGATTTGTCATTATTCATGAGTATAGACCCAGAAATTTGTTCCATTTCTACATCTACTTCATCATGCTTCAATGTCTGCAATTGCATCTCTTGGAACAACTGTTCGCTATCTACAGTGATAGGAAGATCTCGATCGTTGTCATATTGAAATTGGTGCGAGGGTGGACCAAGTATTAGCATAATCACTATGATAAACACGACTATCACTCTTATTCTGTTTCTGGGTAATCGCTGAACTGATTTGTTAATTTGCTTCATTGTGTATCTAATCATTAAGGCGATCTTTCTTGAGAAGCTAGAAACCTGTAGGCAACCTAGTAGTTGGTTTAGAAATTCCATGTGGGTGGGATTACATTCATATATAAGTGAAACAAACCCTGAACAGGAGAAGATAGAAGAAGAGATTTTGTAGCAACGTGCTGGGTTTCATTTATGATAACAACAATAGGACAACCTTTGAACATGCAAGAGCCATTTGAAAGAGAAAAAGGCTTACGGCTGAATTTTTGAATTTTTTGTTACTTTATCTTTTTTGATCTTTTTACAGTTAGATTGTTGAAATAAGGCTTTTTTTTTTTTTTTACAAAAAATGGTTCAAACTTTATTAAACTATAAAAAGTTAACCTTATATACACTCATATATACGGAATAAAGCAAACCCGCTAAAAACGCAAAATTGTAACCTTACATTAAAAATGCATTTTACCTTTCTCATTAACGTGATATTTCTTCTCTTCTCTCTCTCTTTTTTTTTTTTTGGTTTTTTGGTTTTTCATAATTATATAATTCTTATTAGTGTTCTAAACCTATTTGAAATAAGCTAGGCTTAATCATCGAATTTATTTTTTAATAAAATTTTCATTGTTCATGAATGGAAGAATACAAAGCGAAGGTATCCTTGCAACCTTTATTCTGAGTAAGACAATGTGATTGTATCCTTTATATATCATATCCAAGCTAATTGTCACGCGATAATTATCGAATACAATCTGGGAAGAAGATTTAATTGTTTATATTGCTTGTTTGTATTAGTTAATTCTTTTAATTGTCATTTTGTGTCAAAATTGTTCAGGCGTTGTATTCGATAGGTAAGAAAAGTATGAACAATAAGTGCTGGAGACAAAAATTCTTCGAGTTACAAAGAAAATTGTGTCCGCCCAACTCGAGACAAGGGATTGTAAGTTGAATTGTTTCATTCAGTGGCGACAGGGGTACAATTGTACTAATGTTTATTCCAAGGAAGAAATCAACTGAAACTGTTGTAGGATGTAATCCAAGGTCCGATATGAAAGAGGAAGAACAATGAAACAATATAACAAAGAAGTGCAAGCTTCATAAAAGAATACACAGGCTATGCCTATAACATAAATAAGGGAGAATCTGAGTATCCTGATTCTCCCGTCTACAAAGACCATAATAATAAAAAGAACAAACATAAATATAAATAAGGGAGAAGCTAAGTATCCTGGTTCTCCCGACCAACAAAAATATAAATGGATCTGATTATCCGGATTCTCCGCATTACCCGGACATCCGGTAGTGGACGAATAAAAGAAAAAGATTTTCTGAGAAAGAAAAAGAGCCTATATTGAAAACTAACGAATAATACAACAACCATAATAGATGATTATTATGCATCTATTAACTCTCTAAAATATATCTGTGTTCTCTGAACTATAATTTCAACAGAAACAAGTTTGGAACACGGAAATCTGTCCATCCGCGCTTGGAATTGCTTGAAAAAAAAAATTTGGGAATTGACACGACTTTACAAGTCAACCAGCAAGTTAAATTGTAGTTCAAAGTTTCTGTGGGAACTTTTATAAATAGTATTCCATGGATGTTCAGGAAGACATAGAAAGTAATGAATATTGACTTGCTTTCCCTTCGTACTCAATAAGAAATGATTCTTGTAGCTTATTTCTCTGAAAATGGTGCCACACATTTTAAATTTTAGTATCATTTTTTGCAGCTATTCAGATGAAAATTACATATTCGACGAGTAATCTAAAGTTGAATTTTCGCTTGCTCATCGAAAACCATGTTGCATACCTCCAGTAAGAAGGCTACTACGTGACATGAAACTCCAAATCAAACAGGAGAAGAAAGAATTCTTTGCCATTCAAGATGCTAATCTTATGAGCTAAAATTTTGCGACCGATATTGTGACAACATTCTTCAGAGGTTCCTACTACGGGACCTTAATTTGAAAGGTAGGATCGTTCTTTCAGTTGGATAGTCGAATAGTTGAATCACAATTTGATGATTTCAAGAAAATATTAAACTTGCTTTCGGCTAGATCTAAAAAATAATTTTCGCCATTCACACGTCATTTCTATTTTTACAATTTTAACTACCAGCTAATGTAAAACGAATAATTAACCATTCGTTGACATGGATGATTCGGGAATATTCGTGTCATGAAAAAGCATACAAAACCAGGGAGGCAGAGCTGATCAAGTAAGGCTAAAAACTGATCAAATGACATAAACGTCACTGGTGACGCGTGGATTGACGAATTGTTTCGAGAAATTATTTTTTAGTTTTTAATTTTTTCTTTTCTTTTTTTTCTTCCGGTTTCAGTATTGTGTTCTGTTGCCTATTGCTATTGATGATCAAGCCTTTTACTCAATTTGGTGTACATTTGAAATTCTTATTGTTTCATCAATACGTTTTGTACTCCCCTATAGTTGTAACAACTGTTCTTGTGTTTTAAAAGTGTCAGATTTGTTATTATTTTTGTTTTTATTTCATTTTTTTGATCTACACAGGTACAATACCAGGTCATCGATTACCATAAAACGTCAAAAATATAAAGTGTACTTCAACCTTGTCATAAAGTATTCCTTTTAGATTTTATAAAATTCAAATAGATTAAAACGAGAAACATGGTTGCTCCTAGCAATGTCTCAACATCTACTGTATTATCAGCATTGATTGCCAATCTGATAGTTTGTGGTATTTTCATTGCATGTTTCCTATTGTTAAGATTTCCATTCAAACGTATCTATAGTCCTAAATCATCATATGATCTTGTCCCCGAGGAAAAGAAACCAGAACCGTTGCCCAAGGATCCTTTCAGTTGGATATTTATCCTTTTGCGTAAACCAGAAACTTTTATCTTACAACAAGCTGGTTTAGATGGATTTTTCTTTTTAAGATATCTTAAAATATTCGCCTTTTTATTTTTATTTGGTTTATTAACATTCATTATTCTTCTACCTGTGAATGCTACAAATGGTAATGGTAATCAAGGATTTGATCAATTGTCAATTGCAAATGTGAAAGATCCTAAAAGATATTATGCTCATGTTTTAGTTGGTTGGTTTTGGTATGGTTCAGTCATCTTTGTTATTTATAGAGAATTGTTCTTCTTCAATTCCATGAAGAATGTTGTAGCATCATCTCCCAGATATGCCAAAAAACTTTCTTCAAGAACCGTCTTGTTTCAATCTGTTCCTAATGCATTGCTAGATGAGAAACAATTTTTTAAACTCTTCAATGGAGTTAAACGGGTTTATGTTCCAAGATCAACTAAAGAATTAGAGAAAAAGATTGAAAAGAGAGCGGAGCTTGCAAATCAACTCGAACTTGCTGAGAATAAACTTTTGAAAATGGCAGTTAAGAGACAATTGAAAGCGGAAAGGAAGAATGAAATATTGGAACCAAGGGATGAAATCAGTGCTTATGTTCCTGAAAAGAAAAGACCAAAGGGTAAGATGAATGGATTCTTCTCTAGAAAAGTTGATATTATTCGTCATTGTCAAGAAGAAATTCCAAAGTTAGATAAAGAAGTTAGGAAATTGCAAAAGAAATTCAGACGCTCTACTCCATATAATTCTATTTTTGTTGAATTCGATAATCAATATTATGCCCAATTAGCTTATCAATCTACTGTTCATCATAATCCTATGAGAATGAAACCTTGCTTTATTGGAATTGAACCAAGTGACATTCAATGGTCAAATTTACGTTTGTTTTGGTGGGAAAGAATAGTGAGAAGGTTCCTAGCATTTGCAGCTATTGCTGCTGTTGTCATATTCTGGGCTATACCTGTCGCATTTGTTGGGGTTATTTCTAATATCACTTATTTGACTGAAAAAGTTTCTTGGTTAAGATGGATTCTAAACTTACCACCTTCATTATTGGGTATTGTCACAGGTATCTTACCAACTGCGATGTTAGCCATTTTGATGATGATCTTGCCTATGTTTATAAGAGGAGTGGCTGTGGTTTCAGGTTGTCCATCGGTTCAATCAATTGAAATATTTACTCAAAAGTCTTATTTTGCATTCTTGATGGTTAATGGTTTCTTAGTTACTGCTTTGGCTTCATCTGCAACCGCAACTGTAACTAGAGTTATTGAAGAACCTACTTCAGCAATGAGTATCTTGGCAAGTAAGTTACCTTTGTCTTCCAATTTTTACATTTCCTACTTAACTTTACAAGGTCTTTCAGTTGCTGGTGCATCGTTGCTTCAAGTTGTTGGATTATTTTTGTATTATATTCTTGGTGCTTTGTTTGACAATACAGTGAGAAAGAAGTGGTCAAGATTTAGTGTCTTGGGATCTATTAAATGGGGTACAGTTTTCCCAATCTTTACTCAATTAGCATGTATCACACTTACGTATTCAGTTATTTCACCACTTATTATTTTGTTTGCTTGCGCCATGTTCTTTTTAATTTACATTGCATATTGTTATAATTTGACATATGTTTTTGTTGAAAGTCCTGATGTTAGAGGAATGCATTATCCAAAGGCTTTATTCCAAACTTTTACCGGTATTTATATTGGTCAAATCTGTATGTTGGGTATATTTATTGTTGGACAAGGGTGGGGTCCAATTGTTTTGCAAGCTATTGGATTATTAGCAACTGTTTTCTGTCATTTACATTTAAAAGAAGGATTTGATCACTTGCTTGAAGAAATCCCAGTAGATTGTATGAGAGCCCTTGATGGTGTTTCTGATACTCCATCATACAGCGGATATTCCGAATATGAAGAAAAGGTTCTTAGACCAAGAAGAAAAGTCCAAGAACCCAGACTACAAGAAAGTGTTGATGAAAAGAAAGGTGGTAGTGTCCATTCAGAAGATCTTGAACTGAATGAAGAAAGTTACCATGTTGGTACTACTCATGTTCCACTCTTGGCTGATCGAGATTTCAAGAAATTGGAGTCAAAGAATCCAATTATACGTTTCTTAAGACCGGATATCTTTTTAAATTTCCGTCACACTAAAAGGGTTTTACCAGTTAGTTATAATATGGAACCTGAAGAAGAAGATAATAAACATGCTTATGATCCACCAGCAATTTCAGCAAAATGTCCAAGTGTTTGGATTCCGAAAGATAAGATGGGTCTTTCTGATATTGAAATTGAAAGATTGAAAGGGATAGTTGATATTAGTAATGAAAACACAGCCTTTGATGAAACGGGTAATTTTACATTCCTTGATAAACCACCAAATTAGATTTCTATATAAATTTATAGTTTTATTTATTTTGCAATCTCAATAACCCATAAGGGTTTCTAGACAAATCTTAGTTTTATTATAATAGTCCTTGTGTAACAATGGATCAAGATCTGATTTCTATCTTCTTTTTCTGGGTAACAGATCTAGCACCGTTGCAGACAAAATGTGGGGTTCTTGGGAGGGGTGATCAGGGTTTGCTCGGGATAAGGAAAAATGAAAATACATACACCACCTCTGCACCACCTCCACCATTTTTCACTTTATTGTTCATTTTGTTCTCTTCTCTTTGATAATATAAAGTAAATATTATCCAAACACTGATGACATTTATGATTTATAAAAGATCTTGTATTTTGTAAAATGTCAAATGCCAATATTGAAATTGTACTCTAAATTAATTAATAAATTATTAAACCCACTTAAATTACCAAAAATGAGTTTTTCCGATAGCGAAAGTGATTTATTGTTCCTCGGTAACCAATGACCCCATAATGAAAAAAAAAAAAAAAAATTTCATGCCCCCATTATATTTTACAAAATATAAAAGACAAACCCATTCCACCGAAAACGATTATCCTTTACAAGAATGTTAACTAGGAGATTAAGAAATATTTCTTTGTTATCGAAACAAACAATCAAAATGAGTACTAATATTAATAGTAATGCATTAGCAAGATTATCTTTAACCCAGAAACATATTAATCCTACCAGATCTACTTGGACCCATGGTAGAACAATCACTCATCCCAACATCTCCAATGTTAATCAAGGAACTAAATATACTTCTGATTTTAAGAATTATGCTATTGACCAATCTACAGGTAAAGTCTTATCTTACTTTCATGATATTCCCCTTGAATTGGATGTTGAAGCTAAAGAAGCAAATATGATTGTTGAAATTCCAAGATGGTCAAATGCTAAATTTGAAATAAGTACAAAATTACCAGCTAATCCAATCATTCAAGATTCAAAAAATGGGAAAGTGAGATTTGTCAAGAATTTATTTCCTCATCATGGATATATTCATAATTATGGTGCATTCCCCCAAACTTGGGAAGATCCAACAACGGAACATAGTGGGTTGTTTGGTGATAATGATCCTTTGGATGTATGTGAAATTGGATCGTTAATCTTAAAGACTGGAGATATCAAAAGAGTAAAAATATTGGGATCTATTGCTCTTATTGACGATGGAGAATTAGATTGGAAAGTTATTGTTGTCAATGTTGATGACCCATTGGCAAATGAAGTTTATGATGTTCATCATTTAATCACAAAATGTCCTGGATTATTAGAAACTACTAGACAATGGTTTAAGGATTATAAATTACCAGATGGGAAACCAGAAAATACTTTTGCATATAATGCAGTTTTCAAAAATGCTCGTGATACAATCGAAACTATTCAACAATGTAATAATAGTTGGAAACAATTGGTTCTAGGGCAAATCAAGTCTGATAAGAAATTACCTACTACCACCAATGTTACATTGAAGGGAACACCAGGTTATGTCAAAGATATTGGTGTTTCTTTAGATAACCCATCCAAACCAGATGCTGAAATTCCAATTGCAATTCAAAAGAATTACTTTATGGTAATAGAATAAATGTAAATAAACGTTATATTTTTTAGAAGGTTACAATACATCTATACTTAACTAAAAAAATCCTTTAAATCGCTAATCTCATTGATAATCCCCTTAACAAAATTAGCAAATGGTTCACCACCTGTTTGAATAACATGTTGTTCTTCTAATGAGCTTGGAATTATCCTAGAAGTTAAGAACTTTGGATGCTTTAATAAATTATCAAGACAATCAACAAAATCTTCAATCTTACTTTCATTCTCTAATCCGGGCAATATACTAGGAGCTTCTTCTCCACCACCCTCAATAGTAGATACAACAGGTGCTACACTTCTCCAATATTCACCAGCATTCATAGCCTTCAATAAATCGTACAAAAGTAAAATTTGACCAGTCTCAGCAATAAGAGCAGTGGATATCTTAATTGAGGAAGAATCTCTTGACCAGCTTTCGATACATGTTTCAATTTGTTTGCTATAAAGTTGGAGGGCGACGGATAATTCTGGAATGATAGATGGTCCAATTTTGAACAAACTGGTTATAATGATTGGCAAAATTCCATTGATCCATAAACGATGATATTGGGATCCATTGCTGATACTAACACCACCTGCTCTTAATGTACTTGAGATAGGACTTTCAAGTAAAACGACAAATAATCCCGACGAAGCAAACTTGTCTGCAATCACATCAACACTCATAAGCTCCAAAATATACATTAGACTCAATTGTGCAAATATAAGTTCTCCATTCACCTCAACAGAATGAGAAAATGAAAAAAGGTTCAATAAAGATTTAATTGTTCCATGCTTGTTTACTAATAATGACATTTCATTCTGGAAATTTGTACTAGAACTTACACCAACAAACAGTTTAAGAATTGATAATATTAACATTAAATCATCTATCCTCTCATTCACTTTGGTTACTTTACTTGATTTGGGAGCATACAAATCGTTTTGCAATTCAATTAATAATGTCTTTGTTCCTTGGCATATTATTAATTCAAACAAATCCCTAAATAAACTAAAAGATTCCGTTAACAAAGATGAATCCTTTTTAATCAAACCCAACGAACAATAAACTACCTTTAGCAACGGTCTATAAAAACCCTTGGATTCAGCCAAACTAGAAATAAAATCCATACTGCCAGATGATAATAACGTAGAAGCACTCTTGATAATTTCAAATACTCGACTCTTTGTGGTAGATTTGGCTCGAGAATAGAAGGTATATATCAAATAGAAAGCTAATTCAACACGTTCGTGATATATAGACTGGAAAATTTCAGACGGAATACCTTCACAAATATCCAACTTTAATAAATAATCAACAAAGTCTAAAATTCGTTCATCAAGAGCACCATCAAACTTACGACAGAAACAAGTGAGAAGCGCACCAAATGATTTTGCACTGGATATTTGAGCATCGACATATTGGAGATTAATACTTGTTGCAATAACTTGTTCTCTGATTTGGGGCCAACCAGGCTCATTTTTAAATAACGCATCCATCAAGGCTAAATTGTAAACCGAATTAGTTCCAAATCGATTTCTCTTGGCTAACCCAGTAGCAAACTGACTTAATTTAAGAGTTGGAAATAAGCTCTCAAAAGATATCAGAACATTGGCATGCAACGATGCCTGGTAATTTTTAACAGCAAATTTAGTCTTTGCAATCTCAATAAAGTCATCTGAATTAACAAAATTAATTATATTCTTTTTGCATTCCTCATTTCTCGTAGCAAATAAATGTAAAGCTAATATTTCGGTTATCTTGGAAACTAATTTCAATTCGTAGCAACGGCTAATAAAACTATCTGACGAATCGGGAGGATCTGATATTTGCAATCTTACTCTTGAAATCAAAGTATTTATAAACTCTATGTCATTTTCATTTTCTTTAGCTGTTGTCCACGAGTTGCATGCCAATGAAAGCGCATCTACCAAATGAATACTGACCGAATTTGGATAATATTTAATATCACGGATATTTTTCTTAAGGATCTGCAATAATGAAATCTTTGTCTCGACTTTTCTAGACGAATGTTCTGACTTTGTGAAATCTCCAAAAACATCTCTACCACTAATAAATAACACGGAAAGACCGTCTTGTTTACCACCCATCACGCCACAGATAAAATCATACAATGAAATTTTCAACTTGTAATCATCAAATGAATTATCAATGTCCGTGGCTAACGAATGCATTAACACCTGGGCACAGTCACGCCCCAAATTCGACAATAACGATGGCTGCTGTTCGTCTAGCCAGTTAGCACTAGTTAAACTAGTTAGCAAATCCAAAATATCCTTTCTTATTGATTCAAATTGTGAATAAGATGCTACTAAACTTGGAAGTTTTGAATACAAATTTCTTTCAAATGCAGAAGGCTTGTAGCTAAGGGATGAACGGATCGTAATAATCAACTGGGAATAGGATAATGCACATCGGATCCAACTATCATACCAAAATCCTGAGACGTCGATCAATTCATATACTTGCAAAGTCTCCAGAAGAGAATCAATCATACCGAGAATTGGTGAACATGCTCTCGAGCAATCACTATCCGTCATTAAAAATGCATCCAAAATGCGAGCGGAAGGCTCTGCGAATACTTTGGTTACCTTTTCTTCTGGTTTGCTGTCTTCAGCAACTCCATGAACTGAGGCCAAAATTGTAGAAAAAATGTCCAAAATTAAAACTCCCATCTCCAATTTTTGGTGAACCAGAGAGAAGCGACAGTATGTGAAAGTTTCAAATATACTAACCAAATGATTAACAAACTTCGATAAAATCGCCGCTTTAGATTTTTGAGGGTAATCTTGATCTAAGGATAAACAATTCTGAATCAATGCATCCACAAATTTAACTAATGAAACTGTAAAGTCGTAACTTCCACTTACCATTTCTATAGAGCCAAATATAATGGAGGCGAATCCCTCTTTCCCATTATGAGGAAAGATTGACGACTTGGATAAATACGGCCAGATTCTATACGAAAGGAATGGCATTAAATTGGTTAACAAATCAATAATTCCCAGTAATACTTCCACATTTCTTGCGTGCAATGCTTGTTCGAATAGCCTTAAAACTACTTCCAAAATATCCGAGTCGTCCGTAAACGCTGATAAGGCATCTAAAACCTTCTTTGAATCGTCGATGTTGTTGTTCAAAACCACTCTATTTAACAAACGGAGCACTTCCACAATTAAATTCACCATGCCTGGATCTGATGCATTGAACTCCTTAGAAATATTTTGAGCTATTCTCCCCAAGAGTGCCCAACCATTATATCTGTGCAAAAATGTCACCAAAACTTCTTCTTGGTTAGCGGCAGGTAATATCTTTGCCTTCGTACCACTTTTCAATGCCATTGATATTTTTTTATTTGATTCGAATGGTGGAAAAATATCTATACCTTGTGAAAGCTTTACTAACTCTGTATTTTGATCATCTATTTGGTACATATTCACAAACTCTTCCTTTTTGAATACCTGGATGTACGACTTTAACTCATTGAACTCATGCAATGCAAAGCCTCCATTTATAGAACAAAGGATAATATAAGGAGTTAAAGATAAAGGGAACTTAGTTCTAGCCAAAACAATTGCGTCGATAGTTGAATCATTTTCAAAGAACTTTTCAACCACATTTTTGGGGCAATTGCTGACGATGCTTTCGATGGCCCTGGCAACATCAGCGGTAAGATCAATTAACGGCATAGACGCAAGGATTACATTTGATAAAACTACCGAGTTGACCCGATCAAACTTTAATAGTTCGTTTAAGCGACGAATGGCATGGAAAACATTCAATTCAGCACATTTTTGATTTAACATTGTTACAATGGAATTTATCTGTTCTGTATTCAATTTATTTGAAAGATCTGCATTAATTGTAGATTCCGGATACTCCATCATAAAATAGTATTTCCTTAACAATACTATGGACCAAGCATATAAGATAACAGAATTGGTATTTGCTGGATTGGTTATAGCATCATTTACTGAAACAAAAATATTGGCATCGTTAAAATAAGAGCCATCCTTAGCATTGGAAGCATTGTCAAATGCATTTTCTAGGTCTAAAAATGCGACGGAGATAATGGTGAACAACCCTTGGAGTACTGCAAATGCCTCAGGATGACTTATACGAGGTCCGAGCGACATTGCAAAGTTGTTGCCCTTCATGAAATGAAACCATTGCTTGCAAAGGCTCTTTTCGAGAGTTGGATTTTGAACAATAATCTCGGTCAATACTTTAGATGCTTCTATGATAAATAATACCCTTTCATTGTGAACTAGTTCGTCTAATTTTTCCGATAATCCCCATGTCTTAGGATGCATCAAAAAGTTGACGTTGTCTTGGATGGAGATAATCATGGATTCCACATACGTTTTAGACGTGAAAATTTCTTTTCCAAGATTCTGAATAGTTAATGATGCCTTTGAATTACTCTTGTTGTTTAATAATTCGATCGCTATTTTGAGAATAATCCTTCTTTCTCTTAAGATTTTACTGGTATACAAAAATAATCTTTCGTTATCTAATTCTTTGTCTCTGTCATCATGCAATTTGCTTTTCAAAGCAAAAAATTCATTACAAAACTTGGGTGGTATCTTTTTACAAGTTTGAATTATTATTCTCAAAACTTCCTTTGCATCACAATGCAAATGTTGTTCGATAATTTCCGCATCTGATATGTTAACTGGAGTGACATCAGTGTATAGAACACTTCTTAATGTTAAGTCTTTTGCACTTAGCTTTTCTTTCTTACCACTTAGTTCGAATGGAGATGGACTTCGCAAAGTACCACTATTAAGCATCAAAAACTCATCCAATGCATCCAAGATATAAGGATCTTCACATGAATTGATTAACGTGAGTGCGTTGTCAAAAGTCCAATATTGTGTCGGCTGGATTGGCTTTAAAGGCAACCTATCAGTATCAGAATCCAATTGCACTAACGACTTTGTCATTGCCTTTTGGTTAATATTAATGTTATGGAAAGAGAGCTGAGCTTAATGTTTACTGTAGTTTTTTTTTTTGGAATTCACTTTTTTCAGTCGATTCGCATCATTATTGATAGACTTCCTATTTAGGAAGGATGTGTATTTGCAAGTGAAAATAAGTTAAGAATTTCTGCATTTACACTCTTTTTTTCTGGTGTTTCACCTGATGAAACCGTTTTTGAAATTTCCAAAGTTTTTCAAAGAACTTCGTCGTTTAGATTGGCAGCTTTTTCCTTTGTTAGATGATCACACTATTATGAGTCCATCGCCCTTTATTGTCAGTGCTCCAGGTAAAGTCATTATATTCGGAGAGCATTCAGCTGTTTATGGAAAGCCAGCAATTGCTGCAGCATTAAGCTTGAGATGTTATTTACTTGCAACCCCAAATGAAAACAGTGATATAATTAGACTAGAATTCCCTGATATTGAGTTGTCCTATTCCTGGAAAAAGTCTGATCTTCCTTGGGAGTTGATCAAGTCAGTTAGCCAAACCGAGAATGGTGTTCCAAAGGTGAGTGAAGAGTTGGTTCCAGAGATTACCCAGGCACTTTCCTCAATATTGTCCGATGTTAATTCCAAGATGCACCACACGGCCTGCTTTTGCTTTTTATATTTATATTGTAACCTATGTGACAATTCCACACCAGGTATGACTTTTTCTGTGAGATCTACGTTGCCTATAGGAGCTGGATTAGGGTCATCTGCTTCGACTTCTGTATGTTTGGCTGCTGCTTTGGCGACACTTGGTGGATGGGTGTCTAAGGCAGAACTAACCAACGATGATCATGTACCTAGTGGTGAGCCTGCAGATTTACATTTCATTGATTCCTGGTCGTTGATTGGTGAAAAATGTTTCCATGGAAATCCTTCTGGAGTTGATAATGCGGTGGCAACCCATGGTGGAGCAGTTATGTTTCAAAGAAGCTCTCAACCAAGGCAACCATCTGTTCGAACTGCGATTAGAAACTTCCCTCCTGTAAAATTGTTGCTTACTAATACGAAGGTGCCTAGAAGTACTGCTGAATTAGTTGGCGGGGTTGGAAAAAGACATAGAAAATATACCAAGACATCTTCCAGTATATTGGATGCAATGGGCCATTTGGCAACAGAGGCTCACGAAGCAATTATCACGCCATCTTTCGGTGAATCAGAGCATAAGAAATTACTAGAGTTGGTGGATATTAATCACGGTTTGTTGGTGGCTTTAGGAGTATCTCATCCGGTATTAGAAAAGGTTAGAATCATAAGTGACGTTCACAAAATCGGTGCTACAAAGTTAACTGGTGCCGGTGGGGGTGGCTGTGCCATTACTTTAATTAATGATAATGCTAGTGAAAATGATATTGAAGATGCTATTGTTGAATTTGAAAAAGAAGGTTTCGAATGTTTTAAAACTTGTTTGGGGGGTAAGGGTGTTGGTATCTTATATTCCGAGGATGTTCCATTAGGAAATGATACAGTCCAAGTCTTTTCTACTGAGAGATTCTCTTCGTATGAAGATCGAAACGAAATTGAGAAGGCATTGGGAGTAAATATTATTGATGAGTGGCGATTCTGGTAAATGGCTATACAAATTAAAAGCAAAAATAGTACTAATTAATTGAATTTTTCTACGTATATACAAGCTGATAGATACCCTTATAGATTTGATCCCTCTAAATACCTCTATTAAACTCTAATACTCTAAGTTCCTCCCCATTTTTATCCTTTAATCCGTGAAATTTTTCTTCAAGCTTATGAACAGGTAATGTTCTTCTTTGAGGAAAGACACCCAAGGCAAAAGGTAATGCAATCAAAGACGTAACGAAAATGAGACCGATATTTGCCAAAGTTTCCACTGCCTTTGATTTCCCTTTCAAAAATCTTGTCTTTTGCAACCTGACTAAAATCAAAGGTGGAATTACCATAATAGGGGTAGCATTAATGACTCTACTTGCTGCAGTTTCACCAACTGCATACCACGCTGCCTTCTTGGAATTACCCATCTCTTCACCCTGACTACTGTAAACTGAGATTCCCTTTTTCAATTCTTCGCTTCTCATCAAGAATACATTAACGATACCTGCCGAAACCACGGCCGCAAAGGGAACTAATCTTCCTAAAATCATTCTAGTGTTTGGCTTCAATGACTTTAATCTTGGCACCAATGCATTCAATCCTAGGGCAACAGAACATGATGCAGTTACTGCCATACTATAGTTGGTAATGATTTGTTTCGTTGTCAACGGGTGCGACTTATTTGCATTTGCAGTATTTATTGCCACATTTAAAGATTGATTGGCAACTTGCCAGAATAATGTACCAACTGTACCCAAGTTAGGGGTCAACATCCCGGCTGTCACTACCAAGTTTGATAACACACACGAAGACATTCTAAATGGAAGGAAGACTGTCTCTCCAGTATCAGGATGCAAAGTTGAATCGAGGATCTTTTTGGCACGCCATAATTCAGGAGTCATGGCAGGAATTACACCATTCTTATAGTCCCAAATCCTTCTTTTTGCAGTTTCGATCTGATGGGTTGAATTCAAAAGCATGGTTGGATCCGAAATCTCGGCACAATGCTTAACTCGACCCCAGTAAGTAGCCAAATCATACTTTGATTGCGGTAATGGTACAGGACCGGTAATTGAGGAAGCCATACTTTTGAAACAAGTCTAGTGGTCTTAAAGGTTTCAAAGATAAACTTCTCGAAAAATTGAGTAGAATAAGCCTTGAGTCATAGGCAGTGGGCAATGGCGAGAAAAATAAAACGAAAAATAAACCAAGAAAAAGAAATTTCATGACCAGATCTGTCTTTTCAGTCATTAATCCTTTTGAGCGTATCCAAAGCGACGTTAAAAATGAAACAAGTAGCAATAACAGTAGGTATTGGAATGGATATCATCAATTGTAGAAGGTTTGATCGTTTGCTTTCATTGAAAGGATCGTCGTTTGCATCAAGGCTTTCTAAAAGATTGCTCCATCCAATCCATGAGCTACCACGATTCGAATCCATAGCAACAAATTCGCAGAGGGTACAGTTCATATCTGGATCTTGGGCTGCTAAGGAGGCCGTCTTTAAGACGCTTGATTCTGAGTCTCAGAAATTGTTTCTGTTTAAGGAATGGTACAAATCTAATGATAAACGTGGCAAGCCCTTTATCTCGAGTGATAAATACGATTCCGAAGATGAGCAGTTCCTTTTGACCATAACACATGATGCTGATTTCGTGGCTGCGACTGTTTTGCGACAGCGAATTATCGATTTGACCTCGTCACTCTAAATTCATAATAATTTTATAGTACTTGAATGCTTAAAAAATAGAGATGTTATATAACTACACTTTATTAATGATCATGCTTATTCCCATTCAACAGTAGCAGGTGGCTTGGAAGTAATATCGTATGTGACACGAGCAACACCATCAACTTCGTTCACAATTCTAGATGCAACCCTCTTTAAGAATGCAGCTTCAAAAACGAACCAATCGGCAGTCATGAAATCGACTGTTTCAATGGCTCTCAAAGCGATAACTTGTTCGTAAGTTCTTTGGTCACCCATGACACCAACAGATTTAACTGGTAAAAGAGCAGCAAAAGCTTGAGAGATTTCTCTGTATAAGCCAGCCTTTTTGATTTCTTCAATGAAAATGGCATCGGCTTCACGAGCAATCTTGACTTGTTCTCTAGTAACTTCTCCCAAAACTCTAATAGCTAAACCTGGACCTGGGAATGGATGTCTCCAAACTAAGTCTGTTGGGACTCCTAACAATTCACCTAAATGACGAACTTCATCCTTAAATAATTCTCTCAATGGTTCAATTAATTTCAACTTCATGTCTTCCAATAATCCTCCAACGTTGTGGTGGGTCTTGATAGTTTGAGATGGACCTTTGAAAGAGATAGATTCAATAACATCTGGATATAAAGTACCTTGTAACAAATACTCAATTTCAGAACCGTCATGTGGTTTGATTTTAGCAGCTTCATCTTCGAAAACGTGAATGAACGTATTACCAATAATCTTTCTCTTCTTCTCTGGGTCTGTCACACCCTTTAATCTATCTAAGAATAAGTCACTGGCGTCAACAACATTCAAATTGATACCCAAACCTTCAGTTAAAGTTCTTCTAACGGTTTCAGTTTCATTTTTTCTCATGACACCGTTGTCAACATAAATGGCATGGAAACGATCACCGATTGCTTCTTTCATGATCTTGGCACCTACAGTACTATCGACCCCACCAGAAACAGCACCAATAACTTCAGCTGTTGGACCAACTAACTTCTTAATTCTGGCAATTTCAGTGTCGATGAAGTTCTCCATAGACCAGTTGGTGTTGGCTTGACAAATATCAACGGCAAAATTTCTTAATAATTTCTTACCTTGAGCAGTATGAGTGACTTCAGGATGAAATTGAATACCATAAATCCTTTCTTCTTCATTAGAAATCCCACAGTATGGAGAGTTATCGGAAGTGGCAACAACTTTAAAACCTGTTGGTAACGCATGTAATTTATCACCATGAGACATCCATACTTGTGAGTGGTCGACGTCCTTAAACAAAGCACAGGAAGGATCTTCTACATTTAAGGTAGCTGGGCCATATTCTCTTTTGTCACCTCTGGCAACACCTTTACCATTGATCCAGGCTAATTCTTGCATACCATAACAAATACCTAAAATTGGTACACCTAATTTAAAGATGTCATGATCGACATGAGGAGCATCTTCAGCGTAAACTGAGTAAGGACCACCAGAAAGAATAATACCCTTTGGCTTCCAAGACAATTCAGCAATTTTTTGAGTACAAGGTAACATTTCAGCGTATACTTGGAACTCTCTCAAACGACGGGTAATTAAATGAGAATATTGAGAACCAAAATCCAAGACCAATATGGTGTCGAAGACCTTGGAGACTTCAATTGGGACATCTTCAATGTTTTCCATGATTGCAAATGGGGTTGTATTATAGACGGATATGATGAAAGACCAATCAATAAAATAAATAAAATGAGCAACAGATGCCAGATTTTTTTTATGATGTTTCTAGAGAATATGAAAAATATGAAATTTTTAAACAGTGCTCATCGCATCTCAATTTCAAATGACTCCATTTAATAATTTTTTTTTTCATGTTGACTCTGTTATTACAATTAACGACATTGCGACATGGATGTCGCTCGAAACTTCAGGCATTTATCAATAATCTGTCCGGTTGCCAAGAGTCCTCCGTAAAGTTGTGCCAAATGAGTAAATCACAGATTGAAGAGCATCAGAAAATGTACCGCTCTGTGAAATTTTCAAAAGCTATGAATCTTGAGGAGGAACTTGGGTGGTGGGGGGTTATGATGCATCAGACTGACTCTTGTGAATAAATTAGAGAAATGTGCATTTTACAGGAGATACTTGGTTTAGGTTTTAAACAGTATTACAGTCACTCACTGGATAAAGGTTTCGCAGCACTGTTGAGATATATGCTAATACAAGACTTCTTGTATGGATAGTTATGTGTTGGGGATGCGAGCATTGTAATAAATTATTGCCCGGCGCAAGCATATTGATTAATTTGCTTTATAATTTCTAATTAGCTAACCTGGAATGAAATATGGATAGCTTCTTATTATGAATGATCTACTTCTTAGTAGAGGGGATTATTTGTATGAGTGCATCTACAATATGTGGAAATGCTTAAGAGAAAATCAAGTTGTAGTTCTGGTTCTCCCTTGATAACTTTATACAGACTTCAATAGTTTTAAGTCCACCTTGAAACCTACCACCAAACCATTTACCCCTCGATTTACACACCATTTGTCAGCATTCGTCACGTCGTCGAAACGATTTTTTCTTTTAAACCCCTATTCAAATGTTCTCCGGCTGAGTTGCAGAACATCCTCCTGGTATATCTACCACCAAATGCACCTTCATGGGATCACCACGCTTCCTCGTATGCTAAAGCTGCTGTGGAAGCTTGGGTCCAGCATTCCTTCGCCAGTTACCTTACAACTGCCTGTTTCCAATTACATGGTTTTGATACATTATTCCTTACTGCCTGCAACATTCTCATTTACCTACTTCGTACCCCGTTCCGTTTTTATAGATATTGGTCCCCACCAAACCACCTGCTGTTCGTGTTGCTGTCAATGGTATGGACTGTCTTCTCCACATTGTTGCTTAAGTTGCGGACGCCCATTCGGCTCATTCATCATCCAGTCGCCTGAATCCATCTACATTACTTTTGCCTTTTTGTTTCTTTCGCTACCTCGGTTTTATGACCGTCGCTTCTTTTGCTATGCTTGCACGCTTGTCTGCCTGCCTACTTCCTTTTGGGACTATTACGTCTAAATCCAATACGTCCTCAACCAAAATAATATATCCATTGTATGGCTTGGATTTTCTGTGTCGTGAGAACCTCATTGTATCTTTGGTTCCACAGTTACGTTTTCATCGTTTCGATGCATTGCGTTTGTATGAAGTTTGTTGCACGCTTCCCCAACTCAAGTATGGAGCGGTCGTGACGCATTCGCCGCATCCGAATCAAGAATCCTCAAATTCCAGACCCTTTACGAGTTCCTAGAGTGGTTCCTTGGTTGGCGTATATCAAGCTAATGCGGAACGTGCTTGCAGCTCCACTGCTACATTCAACACCACCCTCCCCACATACGCTGAAGCTACTGAAGCACTTCGGTTGCTAGATACCCTCCCGTGTTTACGTTTCAAGTTCCCAGATGTCTTACGAACTTTAACCACTACGGGTGCCCTTTCCCATCCCCAGAATGTCCCACTGCTAAAAGCCTTGTTCGACACCACCAAACATGATTACTTCAAGTTTTTGGCCTTCCTCGATGTTGACTGGTGGAATCTTGGTCCCAATCTTCCTGATAAATCTTCACAACGTCCCAGCCGAACCAGCCACTATATTCAAATGGATTACCCCTTCTAATGCCACCACCTTCTCAAGCTACCACACACTCAACCCCCCCCCCCCCCAACCACCCAACTACTCAAATAACCAAAAAATCTATCATTGCTGCTTTGCCTCGTTTGGAGATTTTAGATTCTTCCTTTGTCGTTCTACCTTCCTCAGCTCAAGACTAGGAGGGGGGGGGGGAAGGAATATAATATGTTATATAATATTCGTCCAAAGAATAGTTGTTGATTTATCAAAATGTAAAACCATAGAAATGACGGCGAAAGCAAGCATATTTATAGCTGAGAGATTGGATAAGTCAAGAAATGTAGAAGAAATAGTATTTGTAGTAGACGCCTTTAAGGAGTATCAACAACGCAAACACTTCTAAAGTGTTTTACCTGTTACTCTCGAGACTGGATAAGCTAAAGACCAAGTCGCCATACCACGTATTGGTATTATATCACGGCACACTTGCAATTTATTCTTAAAAACCAATGCTTTATAAAAAAGAGAAAGAAATTAATTTAAAATTTGATTGGTTCTTTTCAAACTGGACAACAGAATTGTTTACTATAAAGTTCGCCTTAGTTGTAATCGTTTCCATTGCATTGTTTGATGTGGAGTTTTCGGTGTCGGTGGTAATTCTTCGCTGTACCATACATTTATTAGCGTTCTCCCGTACAGCGTCATTAGCAGAACATTAAGATTCTTTTCAAAATTGAAATAACTAAATTAAATATATAAACTAAATACTCTAAAACCTCCAAGGGACTATTATATATAATTTGTAAAACATGAAAAGTGGGACTCTCCTAATCTTTAGCTGAAATTCTTCTTTATTTTGCTTAAAAGGAGCTAAGAAATGAGAATATTCAACTAACCGAGGAAAATTCATTTTGATCAGTAGTAATACTTTCGTCTAACATCCAAATTTCCAGACATTCCACTATTACCGTAAGGGACCGATAGAGTCTGTCGACCCAATGGGGAGAGCTCCATTCTCCTAAAACAGTCCCTCTAAATCATCCCGGGGTTTGCCCTCAACAAGGACCGCTGTCTCTTCTACTTCATGATCTCCTTCCTGTTTCTTTACAGTGGGTAGCTCTATAAACCAGAATCTACCAGATATCTGTGCACCATTCCTAGAAGCTGGGAGTGAAAGCACGATCAACTAACCCTTGATAGATCTCAGTATCCACCCTTGACCTTAAGAAAGTCCAAGACCAACCTACCACTCGCCAACTAATACCTCAGACACAGCTCCCACTCTAACTCCAACAATCAGCGTTGGAATATAGGCTCACTCATAGGCTAATGACTAACCATCCAGATCCCCAGCCATCTAAGTCTTCCTAGCCATGGACTATATCGACCGCATCTCCTTGGCCCCGAAGTCTTCTAGTACGTCACGAGAGACTTAAACTCGGGGTGACTCATCAGATGCATCCTTCCACGCCAAGGGTCCCCGTCTTCATATGCGAGTACATTAGCACTGCCAAACCCGTGTACTACGAGAGTTGCCGGACCCCAAGGGTAACTATATGAGTATTAGGAATCATCAGGTTCGTCGACACCATCCGTATCGCCTCATGGGCCACCGCTGCTTCTATGGGAAGATATCACAGCGAGGGGCTACCGTGATCACCACGACATGCACCCCTTCATGAGATGAAGCCCTTCTTCTCCGTTTGCTTCCTGGTGCCTTTCATCCTTGCTGAACTAGTCTGTATGCACTTCATGCCATGGGCCCATCCAGCCTTCTGGAACAACAGTTAGCATCGACAGGCTACCTTTCATAGATACTCCGCCTTGACTCGGTCCCATATGAGAGGTGATGTGGCTGCTAGACAGCGGATAGACAGCATCCGGGAACCACGAGAGAAGCAGGCATGGTCCCTCAGCAAGCCTGAGAGTGATGTGGTGGGCTGGTACTATAATGTGAGCTAGCCTCGGGCAACTTCATTTACATGATGAAGTGTACTCACTCATGAATAGGTAGTCTAGGGCCATATCGTAAGGACCCCCCTAGAGGAGAGAGTCCAAGGAAGCAACCGCACATTCCATCAGGATTTGCATTTCTCGTTGTTCACTGAGTTTGGGAATCATGTGCTTAGAAATTTACAAAAGAAGAAGGTTTATATCTTCCCAATTTTCAAGAAGCATTTCTATAATTCTCTATATCTTTTCTTTTAGAGTCAATCACTGTTCTACGTATTATTTACATTACTTACATTGGCTATTATGGTTATATTTACTTACTTTTTTTTTTCTTTAAACGGTATCGATTAAATTATACACTAAAATTATAAACTAAAATATATAAACTGATACTGACCCTCTGATACATATAGGGCATAACGTTCTGTAGAAATGGTAAAAACCTTTTATAGGCACTTAGGTGTATGATAAAAGCAACGTAAGTAGTGTGAGAGTCCAAGACCAGCAGAACTGGGTTGTATACTCACTAAAAACCATTGGTACGAGTTGGCTGGGGGGAATAAAGCGTAAATGATTTAGGATGGGGTTAAGCTTTAGATAGCGCAGGGTGGAGATGAATTTAGGATGGTGGTGTTGATTAACATGGAGGGGTAGCCATTAATGTAAATACAAACAAATCACTAATTAAACTTATATTGGTTATATGATTCAGCAATGTCGTCGATCTAGATAGATCATGACATGGTTTATGTAATTATTAATGGTCTTGTAATGGGTTGGAGATAGGTTAGGATTAGCAATCCATTGTGTGGGGTTTAATGCTAATGAAGGTGATGATGTCCATTGGGAGGTTGTTATTGGGCAGTAGAAAAGATGATGGATCACACTGTTGGAATTAGTCCGCTGACATAGAGGACAATCTCCCGTTTGCTGATAGCGTGGTTGATGGCTAAGAGAACCGAGTCTGAATAGATGGAATGGTTGTAGATAATCGGTTACAGATTGCCTGTTTTTATGCATCTGATTCCAAAATTTTGTCCATATTTTCGGGTGTGTTTGTGCAAGATAGTCTTGTTGAGACCATCTGTTGGGTATGATGGGACGGGTGGTGGCTAATTTCTTAGATGTGTGGTGGAAAGAGTCGAAATTAAGTGGCTCCTTTTTGTTGATGTCCACAAGTTTTCTTAATTCATTTGGTTCAGGAGCTTCGACGGGGATATGAGATTGTTGAAGTATCTTGTATCCGGAAAATTCTTACCTTATTTCAAAACTTCCCCATTTTAAAAGACTTACCACGGCTGCTTGAGAAAGAACAAGAATCGCTCATTGCTTTATTAAACAAACCAGGAGTATCGCGAAAACGTTTAATAAAATACAATAAACAAGACATAAAAACCGGACATAGGTACTGTTGAAGCGTACTACAAGACTAGAAAATAAACTTAACGAGCTTCGCCGTCTGATGTCATTCTTGTTCATTCTATATCCGTTACTTTTCTAATTACTATGGGCAAATTCCGTGAATTTGCCTTTTTAACTAAATTCTTCTTAGAGTGCGAACTCGCGTAGATTCTTACTCACGAAGAATATTTTGTATGCAGGATTACTCCTGTGACATAAGTAAATCGCTTTCCTTAAACACAGTCCATTTCGCACTATGACAATTATTGGTTTGGTACACGACTCCAATCTAGTTAAACTGTTCCCCGAAGCTTGAAGTGTGATTTACCACACTATAATTTATTGTTGCTCATTACTCAGAGATGGATATAAATAGTCTTAGTTTTCTCGGTCATTTAGTTATGTAATTTAGTCTAATCTAGATCGTTGAATTTATTTACTTCGTTCCCTCTAATATTTGCACTTCTCAGTTTCGGCCAGCATCCCTCATGGGTGCGGTTGCTGCCTTTACTCCCTACTTGCCGGTTGTGCTTAACCAAAGGCCTACAACAAGAAGTCCTCCCGATATTGTTATTGGAACGGGATATATAGGCACATCTGAGTTGTGGATATTTTTGGCATACTGCGACACTCCTCGTTCCCACAGAACCATGTCACACTCCTGCAAACTCAACACTCCTTCTTAATCCTAGCATACAAAAATGTTCCCTCTGACTAACAGACGTTTTGCGAAGCCCGGTGTATCACACTACACTACACTGTACCAATTTCTACTGTTTGACATATATGACCGTTCATCTGTTTTTACATTTCTCCGTTCACTTTTAAGATTCTGTTACACCTAGAGTGTATACACAAACATACGTTTGATGATGCACACATATCTTTAGAGCATATCAAATTCATATTTCTAGCGATCACTGACCTTCAATTTCTCGTTTGAGCAATATTTGGAGGCATATCTCTGACATTTAACAATCCATTACTAGCTATCTTTAATAGTAACATCTCTTCTGAAAAATCAATCCTTGAATAACTGACTCCAATCACACTTTATGTCTTCAATTATAGTAATTCTGATCATCTCACTTTAACTGTAAGTTTAGCTCAGAAATCAAACTCGATACACTCGTAACTTCAAAATCGTTAATGATAACACATTATATATATACCCTTATAGGCTAGTACTTTCTTAGTTGTTTCAAAACATATTCTGTAAGGAAGAATCACCTCTTGCTTGCTAGAGCCACCAACGTCCTCACGGACAGACGAAGGAGCAATTCAAAACAAAGTGTCACTGTGTTTACTATGACATTCTTATGTTTTAACACTTGTAATTTATCTAGCTGATTACTCAGACACTTATTATTTCAAATTTCCAATATAAACGTCTTTCGTCACCAGTGCCACCTTCAGAGAGGAAGGGTCAACTCAAGTATTCATTCAGCTTTCCATATAGATGTCATTCGTCTCCAATGCCACCTCAACACTCCTTCTTAATCCTAGCGTACTAAGTGATTTACTCTAATCACATTTTCTGGCGAAGCTCGGGTAGTATCTATCTTCGATACTACTCTCAACACAAATGTCACACTCCTTAGCATGACTCTCTCGAATCTCGTATCACTTATTGTTTGATTAGCTGATTACTCAGTCTAGTATCACTCTGCTTTCCAAGGTAGACGTCATTC